ACAACGGCTCTGTGTAGTTAATGCTGCTCGATGTGAAAGCCCGCAGGTGATGGAGATTTACCGCTGATTACAGTACCGGCTTTCTGACAAGATGCGCATTAAATATCGCATGCGATTTATCGTGCAGCCCTACTTTCAACTATCCCTTTAAGTCACTGTTTATTTGAAATCTATAAAGTAAAGGTTAAAAGTGCTTACCAGCTTGTCTTTTTCAGGCAGCTGATTCCACACTTCTGCGAGTTTCTTACTCAGCTCCCCGAAGACTGAGGCGGAAAAAGAACAAAATTTCAACCAATCGCAAAACAGCACAGATGATTGACAGATGTGCACAGAACGACAGCACTCACCTAATCCGGGCTGCTCTGCATTGATATTGACCCTGTACTCCTTACAGAACACCTGATAGGCCGTCGTGTTCTTCTTCTTCGGCTGACAGGATGTACAGAACATTAATAAATGGTAAAAACCTCAAGGCATTTCAACTGGGGGAGGGAAGTGATTTAATTTACCTTGTCCTTGTCATGTTTGTCTCTGTCCTTTTCCTCCTTCTTTTTCTTCTTCTCGCCCACCAGTTCAATGCTTTGATGGTGATGGGATGAGGTGGGTGGAGCCATCGCGTACATGCCACCAGAAGAGCTGTGATTGGATGAGCTGTGAGAGTGGGTGTGGCTTCTAGACTGATCACCTGCTTTGCAGAGAAAGAGACATTTAAATTCAGTTCAATTCATTTTCATGTAACAACGACAAAATGACGATACCAACCAATCAGTATTAGCTTTAAAGAACGTGAAATATGTCTCACCTGGACAGTTTTTCTGCCCTCCACTTCCTCCTTTGCTGTGTTTCTTCTCTCTGGATCCTTTCTCTCGGTCTCGCTCTTTCTCTTTTTTCTTTTTGCTCTTCTTGCTCTTTTTCTTCTTTTTAGAGAGATGTGTGAAGGAGTCGTCAATCACCAGCTCGCCGGCCTCTAGTTCTCCTCCTGAAGATGAGCTGTCTCCTCCCATGCCTGCGTAAGACCCGCCGTAGTGACCTGATGAACACAAACACGCACATTTAATACTGCAATAAATTCACGTTAGGGCTTAGATGATGATCTCAGTGAACAGTATGTCTCATTTGTGCAGTAAATCAACACAACTTCAGTGCAGACAAAACCAGAACATTTGTACAGTAGTGGTTAGTGTCTTTGAGTTTTTTTTTTGTTTTTTTTTTTAAGAGTGTTTGAACAAATGGATGTTAAACGTTTGTCATTATTACAAACACCATAGGCAGAGATCGGTCAGTATTGACTTTTTATGACTGATAAAATCATAATCATAAAAAATAATCATATTAATCATAAAAAATCATAATCATAATCATAAAAAATCATAAATAATGTTTGTTTCAGTTAAACAAAAATAGATTTGGATTAGCGTAGATTTTCTCTCAAAAACTAATTATTTTTTATGTAGGTTTTATTTCTGCTTTTTGACTCAAAAATAACTAGAAAATCATTAGACTACAAAATAAAAACAGTAAAAAAAAAACATTTTTAGTCAATTTATTACTTTATAAAAATTATAACTTTTGTTGATATTGATGGCATTATATTTCTGCAGAGTCGTTGTTGTTAATGTTCGAAATTAATCTAAAAGTATATTTTTATGTTTTTAAAGAAGTCTCTTATGCTCACCAAGGCTGCCTTTATATGATCAAAAATACAGTAAAAACAGTAATATTGTGAAATATTATTGCAATTTAAAATAACTGTTTTCTATTTGAATAGACTTTAAAATTGAATTTATTTCTTTAATGAAATGCTGAATTTTCAGCATCATTACTCCAGTCTTCAGTGTCACATGATTCTTCAGAAATCATTCTGATATGCTGATTTGCTGCTCAAGAAACATTTCTTGTTATTACAAACGTTGAAAACAGTTGTGCTGCTTAATATTTTTGTGGAAACCTTGATACTTTTTTTCAGGATTCTTTGATAAAGAAAAAGTTCAAAAGAAAAACATTTATTGAAAATCTTTTGTAAAACTTGACATCTCTTTATCGTCACATTTGATCAGTGTATCCTTGCTGAAAAAAAGTATTAAATTCCTTAAAAAAAGGTCTTACTGACCCCAGACTTTGATCAGTACTGCAAGTATCTTTGTTTTGATTTGTTTTGTCTACACATTTTCCATTTAAAAACAAATGGCTATTATTTAATTATTATTCTTAAAGGGTTAGTTCACCCAGAAATGAAAATTCTGTCATTAATGACTCACCCTCGTGTTGTTCCAAACCCGTAAGACCTTCGTTCATCTTCGGAACACAATTAAAGATATTTTTGATGAAATCTGAGGGCTCTCTGACCCTCCCATAGACAGCAAAGTAACTACCAGGTTCAAGGTCCAGAAAAGTACCAAGATGATCGACAAAGTAGTCCGTGTGACATCAGTGGTTCAACTGTAAAGTTACGAAGCTACAAGAATACATTTTGCGCAAAGAAAACAAAAATAACGCTTTATTCCACATTTTCGTCTCTACTGCGTCACTTAGGATGCGCGGCGTGATGGATCTGGGTCAGCGCCGGCGCCTCCACACGCTCGCATCATGGTACTGTCGTGAACGCGCGTCCACACAAGTGACACAGTAAAGACGAAAATGTGGAATAAAGTCGTTATTTTAGTTTTCTTTGCACAAAAAAGTATTCTCGTAGGGTTAGGGAAATAGTCACACGGACTACTTTGTCGATCATCTTGATACTTTTCTGGACCTTGAACCTGGTAGTTACCTTGCTGTCTATGGGAGGGTCAGAGAGCCCTCAGATTTCATCAAAAGTATCTTAAATTGTGTTCCGAAGATGAACGAAGGTCTTACGGGTTTGGAACAACACGAGGGTGAGTAATTAATGACAGAGTTTTCATTTTTGGGTGAACTAACCCTTTAAATAGAATTTGTTTTTTGTTTTTTTTTGCGTGTGTAATTTTACTAAATTTGATTGCATATGAATACAGTTGGGTGCTTTTCTTGAAAGATTTTTCAGCAGACCTGATATTAAAGAACAGACTAAAGCAAAAAGTGAAATACAGGTCAATCTTTAATCCTAGAGAGCCTGATATATAGAGTTCTTACTCACCCACGACCTCCACCTCTTTCCCCACTACAGGCAACGGCTCTTGGCTGTGCTGCTTTTTCTTTGGTGGCTTCGACATCATTTTATCTTTGTCTTTCTCCTTCTTTATCCCTCCTTTCTTCACACTGGAGGACTGATGATGGCCTACGACACCTGAAGAGGAAGAAGAATATGTCGGGATGGAGAATCCCTCGTTCATCCCTACATTTTCGTTCTTCTCTTTTGAGGAAAGGATGAGCTTCATCTTGAGGCCTTCAGCTTCACAGAGCGTCAGTGGCTCTCCTTTCCCAGCTCCTCCGTGGAACAGGAGTGACTTCGAGGAAGAGGAATGCTTTTTAGACGAAGATGAGCCAGGCGGATGAGAGTGCGAGTAGGAGTGGCTGCTCTTGGAGCTGCCGTCACGTTTGCGGTCTTTGGAGGAGTGTGAGGAGGTGTGGAGAGGGTAGGAGGGTTTTTTGTGGAGGTGAAGGGTGGGCTCAGAGCCCGTGGCCAGCGGGGAGGTGATGGCCTCCAGGAGGCCCATGGCTGTGTCTGTGGGGTGGGACGGGTGAGAGGAGGACGAGGAGGAGAGGGAAGGCGAGCGATCTGAAGATTTGCGCTTCTTCTTGTGGGGCGGCTGACTAGAGCTGTGATGATCTGCGGGGAGAGATTACAAACTATTTAAAATCCCAAATCATATTTGATTCAGTGAAGGTGCCTTTTTTAAATATTCAAAATGAAGAAATAATATTATATTATATATGACATTATAAATCTATTAACTTAAAAAGCAGTCGTGCTAAACATAAAAATATATAGATACAATAATATAGCAACAAAAATATAAAATATAAAAGTAATATAAAAAATGACTATTTTGTTCAGTTTTTGTGTGTATCTTTTTTTTTGTGCTTACACCACTTTACAGCTAAAGTCTGTCTACACTGGACGCGACAAAGCGACCGTTGAAAATCATTTGAAATTTGTGTCAGTACGTCATAAATAGAACACAGCCGGAGTTTACTTTCGGGAATTTGTCACACCGTGCCGCGGCATCCAGTGTAGACAGCATATTAGGTTCTATTGTATTTTGTCGCGTCGTGCCGCTTGCGTCCAGTGTAGACACGATGTTAGATAATAAACATGCAGTTGTCTGCTTTTAAACTCTACTGGAATTAATGAACAGCAGTGTGCTCTTCACCGAGGTGCACTACTTGCATGGTACGCACGAGAGGCTGTTAAATGAGCCCATAAAAGAACATTTCAATAACGTTCATTTTTAATGCTCCCATAAAAAGTAACATCCTAACGAGAAGTTCTGGAACAATTTTAACTGTGGATATGCTAGAGCAGTGCTAGGAAGACAAACCTCCTCACCTCTGTGATAGTGGTCATCACTCAAGTGCTTCTTTTTTTTCTTGTGAGAATCTTCTCCTAAGAGGAAAAGGTCAGAATCCTAAAAAGACAACAGTGCATGTTGAAACAGGCATTATATGCACCACAAAGGTCATGTAAGTGAGGAAACAATCCACATATGCTTACTGACCTTACTACTACAACTGCACATACAATGGGAAGAGTAGGGATGCTCTGATCAGGCTTTTTACAGATTATTCATTTACTAATTGTCATCTAAATCGGACTACAGAACATTTTAATAGGTCTAATAAAAACAAGCAGGCGTACACAAAAGATTATCAGTACTAAAATGCATAAAATTATGAAGAACTAGCCTTCGCCTACAAGGCAAATAAATAAACATAATATGAGTTTTTGTATCTATTCAATATTTCATTTGTGAAATTATTTGTACTCATAATTTATTTACTAAAATAAAGCAATTAATACTTTCAGCAAGAATTCATTAAACATCAAAAATGACAGTAAAGACATTTATGATGTTACAAAAGATTTATATTTCAAATAAATGCTGTTCTTTTAAACTGTTTATTCAATAAAAAAATATAAAAAGTTAAGCAGCACAACTGTTTTCTACACTGATAAAAAGAAGCAGCAAATCAGCATATTAGAATGATTTCTGAAGGATCGTGTGACACTGAAGACTGGAGTAATGATTCTGAAAATTCAGCTTTGCATCAAAAAAATTAATTACATTTTAAAACATTCAAATAGAAAACACTCATTTTATATTGTGATAATATTTTTACTGTATATTTAAAAAAATGTAGCCATGGTGAGCATAAGAGAATTCTTTCAAAAACACAAGAAAACATGCTGACCCCAAACTTTTCAACGGTATTGTACATTCCCCACTTCTTCATTTTGTTGGATGCCAGTAATATTAATTTAACAGCTACTACTGTTAATGCTCTTTAATCTGGAGCTATTTAATAAAGATGTCTGAAGTGTATTCCACTTTGTAACCCACATTAATATTGTACTTACGCTTCACGGAAACTGAGGAGCATACATATCTCATCTTTCCTCAACACTTATTACACTGGTGATGACATGAAAGTAATGCTAAAGTCTTAAAGGTGAAGACGTTTTGACGATTTATGAGACTGGCGCAGTTCAGAGACTTCCAGGTGAGTCACAGGAATATCAGCCAACTGATCGCAGCATCCCTAAACACGAGTCAATGACAAGTGGCCTGAGAGGGAAAAACACAGGTCCAAATCCTTCTCAGACCAGAAGTCATATCTACCTAGGTAACAAAACATCAAGTTGCGTGTTTATTAATGTCATTAGAGTCTATGAACAGACTTTGTGGTTATCATTGGTATTCTTTCTCACACAACACAGTTATGGAACATATGTGTATACTATCAACCACTTGTTGAAATGATGCAACTTGATGTTAGATGTTACCGTAACTCCCTGCTGTTACCTTGTGGTGCTTCTTGGAGGTTTTGCGCACCTGCGCTGCGATTTCTTCTTCCTCTCTCAACAGATCTTTATACGAGCGCCTCTTCTCTCTTTGGCTGCGACCTGCAACAAGACCGACCTCTCCTTCCATCTGTGAAATATCTACAAGGAGAACCATGTTTCAGAGTAGGTTTGGATTGGACATATTTGAGAGTATTATGGTGCTTCTGTCTGATAATCATTACCCATCATTCGTTTCTTCTTGATCTCCTCAAAAGCCATGGTCAGTCCTGGTCCTTCAGGTGGGATTGGTCAGTCTTGTGATTCTAGTGCACAAGAACAGATTCAATTCTTCAAGTTCAGTCTAAAAACATTTCATTTAAAACAAACTATATACAATGACCTTTCCTGCGTAGAGAACTGATAATTCGGTTTCAATTTAACTTGCACTTCTGTATGTACTAGTTATCCACACTACTTTTTTTTTTTTTTTTGCAATGAAAGTATATATTACACAAAAGTTCACCCAAAAATGAAGTATATATTACACAACAGTTCACCCAAAAATGAAAAATTTGTTAAAACTTTACTCAGTATATTAGTCTCAGGCCATCCAGGATGTAGATGAGTTTTTTTTTCTTCAGAGGATCAGATTTTGGATCAGATTTGGAGAAATGTAGCATTACATCCCTTGCTCATCAATGGATCCTCTGCAGTGAATGGGTGCCGTCAGAATGAGAGTCCAAACAGCTGATAAAAACATCCCAATAATCCACACCACTCCAGTCCATCAATTAACATCTTCTGAAGTGAAAAGTGCTTGTAAGAAACAAATCCTGCATAAAGGCATTTTAACTTTAAAACCATAGATTCTGGCCAAAATATGAGTGCATAATCCAGTAAAAGTCCATCCACTGTTGTCCTCTCACATCAAAAATCCACCAACATACTTGGTTAGATCTGTTTTGGACTGTTTTTGCTTGTAAACACTGCTTGATCTGTGCATATTTCTCTCCTGATTCAGACGAGACACCTTTTTCATATTTTCATATACTCATATTTTAGACAGAAGCTGGTTTAAAGTCAAAAGCCTCTTAATGATGGATTTGTTTTTTAAAACACACAGCTTTTTGCTTCACAAGATGTTAATTGATGGACTTGAGTGGATCATTGTGATGTTTTTATCAGCTGTTTGGACTCTCATTCTGACAGCACCCATTCACTGCAGAGGATCCATTGGTGAGCAAGTGATGTAATGCTACATTTCTCCAAATCTGATCCTCTGAAGAAACAAACTCATCTACATCTTGAATGGCTTGAGAGTGAGTACATTTTCATTTTTGGGTTGAACTATTCCTTTAAGTCACATTCTCATTCAAAAGAGCATTTTATTGGACCAAAAAAAAAAGGTAGATAGACACTGGCAAGCAACTTTTTTTTATGTAATCATAATTTATAAAATGTCCTTTTCCCTGGAAGAGAATGAAATATGTGAGAATGCTAAAAGATATGGTCCCACTTTATATTAAGTGACCCTAATACCTGTGTACTTGCATAGTAACTAGATGCGTACGTAGTATGTAACCACAGTGTAAGTACACATTGGTACATAGTATCTACAGCTGTAATATTTCTGTAACTACACACATGTAACAACACTGAGAATGGTTTGTGTAAGTACAAATGTGTAACAGGACATCGGTAACAACACTTTTTTTTCACTTCACTAAGTACTCGTGTAACAGGAATTATATAACTACATTTTGTAACAACAATATGTATAAGAGTAATTGGAACCCTTTGATCCAGGGGGTGGAGATGGGTATGTTTAGGGGTGGAAATGGGATCCAGGGGGAGGCGATGGGTATAGATACTATGTACCAATGTGTACTTACACTGTGGTTACATACTACATACACATCTAGTTACTATGTAAGTACACAGGTATTAGGGCCACTTACTATAAAGTATGGGACCGAAGATATTTTGATCGTGGACTAAAAGCAACAACAGTTTTCTTCAGAACACTGTTTTGTAAAAATTGCTATACAAATAAAACGGAATTAAATGTAAGTTTTCATTCGAAAGCCATATAAGCAGATGCTTAACATTAAATATATAAAACCAAATAAATAAGCACTAATACTGGAAAAACAACGGAGAAAACAAATCTCATCACAAAAACACAATCAAGTCGCCCCATCTTCCAATTCTAATCAAATCTTTCTTCTAATTGCAATAACGCTGCGTGCAGAGGTGTTGAACAACTCTGAAGATGTGCTACAGAAAGCGCGCACACACACACACACACACACACTCATTAGTGACAGATCAGGATCAGCAACACACATCAGCTTTCCTCCAGCCACAACTTTAGTCAAGCTGCCAATGACATTTGCACGAACGAGAAGATCAGCCTCAACCCTCATTATTGCACATTTCCCGCCTACTTTCGAAGTAATGCACACTCACACACCCCCTTCCCCTCTCTTCATCAGGATCCAGCGCTTCGCCGTTTCAACTCGAGTGGATTCGAGCAGCTGCGGACGTCTCTCGCGTCTCTGCCGGATCGTCCGGCGCGCTCAGCCCCGCGGCTGCGGCGCACATAGGCCGGTATCGGGTTACAACTCGGTTAACGGAGCGTTCCCGCCATGCAATTTTAACGGGTTTCTACAGTACTACAGAATGGCACGGAATGCATGCGATTTATATGGAGATATTAGAAGTGTTGTGCAATAATCTGTGAAATATTACCTCGGGTTGGATGTGGGTTTAGTTGGCGCACGACGCCATCTTTGATAGGAGTCAACAACAAAAGCAGCCAGAGACGAGGAGGAGGGACTTTGAGACCAGAGAGTGTATCACAGCAATGAAATCCCCCATTTTTGCAACCAAAAAAATAGTACTGGTGATATTTAGCATATAAAAGCGATTTGCAAATGCACAGCTTATACTCTATTGTTAATGTTGCTACATCGTTGCTTCAAAGACAGAGTCCACAAACACTCTAGGCATTATGTCATTTATTTGGCTCTTTCAGTCACTTACAAAAATTAATATACAATAAACAGCGACATAACAAGCTACAATAAAGGCATAACAGAAATGAGAATTGTTTCAGGAACAAAAATAACAAAAAATCTCTGTCAAAGTTGGATTTAAATGACCATAATTACCGTTGTGTTGTATATGTAGGCATGTCATATATATATATATATATATATATATATATATAAATAGTTTCTCCTGAAAACCCACAGTTGTCTCATCCTCTCATGTCTTTTCTTCCATCCATCTCTAATGGTCTCCCATATTCTGCATCTGAATACTGAGAGACGTGAAGCTGGCCAGTAAATCGGTCACCTCGTCCATCTGTGGATCATATTAAAACAATAATTACAATGTCCCAAAGCTACAGTGGTATCAAACATACAGTATTGTAGAATTAACCCTATAAAGCCTACTGTACTGTATCATATTTGATACACCAATTTCTAAGGCCTCTAAATCATCAACATGAACTTTGCTGAAAAACCTACTGTACACAATCTACTTTGCACTACAATGCCTTCTGTCATCTGATTGATAATGTATACTTTTTTAACAAGAAAAATGCCTTTCAGTTCCATTCTAAACATCCCCTTCAGTGGTACATTTTCCATTAAACAATATTTTAAAGATTATTACAAAAACGGATAGTTCCGGTCCTTGATTCTGATTGGTTGAGCCGCGTTCGAAGCTGTTGTAAATTACTCTACAAACATACACCTTTGTTTACTTTGTGTGTTGCTTGGCAAGCACTTTGTTGCAACCACAACTGTTTCTGAGGAACTACATTGTTTGGTGGAAGAATACTGTTTTTATTAATACCATTACACTTTATTTGCTCTCATGTACTGGACTGAAGCAACTCAGGTTTACCTGATTATTCATACATCATCTTTTAGAAAAATCATGTTAAAATGTGAATATCAAATATGATACATCAGGTTTGAGGAATTTGCATTTGTACGTTTCTCATCATATTTTGCCCCACAATAAAAACTACAGAGCCTTAAACATAAAATATTACTATTCACTGACTTGTAGCATACAAGCTGTGTTGTATTTCGTTTTTAATTTAAAAAATACATTTATATTTATTATTTTTTAACAAAGTAAAATACAATAGGTTCATTGATGTTCAGCCATAACATAAAAATTAATCACTGGCTTATCAAAAAAGGCCAGAATTTTATAATCAATACATCTCTATAAAAGAGTTTATATACTAAATATTTCATTTGTAGCCCTTAGAACTGAACAGTCCTCTTTAAAATATCAAAGGGAATGAGTACATGAACTCAGCAGCTGTTACCTGTTCTCTGGTGCGGGTGTTCTGCAGCTGGTTTGAGATGTGCTCTAGTTTCTCTCTCTCTTCACTCTGTCCCATTATATTCAGATATTCCCGCAGCATTTGAATGATCTACAGACATAATCAGAGATCCCTGGTTCATTTTGGCACTACAGCACATACATAAGCATGTACAACAGGAGCATAGGAAAAGTGTGGGCGGGGCACATTACCTAAACCTTATCAGCCTGTCTCATAAACACAAAATTAGGAATCATCGTTTACCCAGAAGTCATTACATTACATTATGCATTTGGCAGATGCTTTTACCCCAAGTAATCGTCATAGTAGAAATATTCACAAGAAGCATGAACGTCACAGTCTCGGCTCCAAATCTGCAGATAAAATCGTTATGTGCATGAAGTTTCTCAGTCATCTGTTAATCACCTGTGTGACCTCTCCTCTGAGGGTTTCTAGGCTATGCGAGTCTCCCTCTTGTAAGATGTTGAGCTTTGAACGGGCAAGATGAAGAGGAGTCCTTCCAGCACGGTCCAGAGCATCAACACGGGCACCTGAGGGGACATTTATAATCTATGAACTAGTACTAAATTAGATTTGTGAATGGTATTGGAGGTACTGTTTTTGTTAAGAAATAGCAGAAAAATCTCAGATGAGTAAGATTTAGATGCATAATCAATCGTACCTCCCCGCAGTAAGGTTGTGATGACAGGCACATGGTTGGTGCAGGCAGCTGTAAAAGGCAATTTAACTCACCATAAGCTTTGACCATAGATTTAATTATACAGAATTATGGTCATTATTATGTGAATAAACTAATTTGCTTCTGCACATCCTTACCCAGATGCAGTGGTGTATTTCCAAGGCTGTCTCTCTGGTTTGGGTCAGCACCATAACTCAGCAACAACTGAACTACATTGTTAAAAGTGATGAGAGATGAAAAGAGAAAGTAGAAAGAGTTCAAATATAGTGGAAAACAGTGAAATACAGTGGCCTCAAAAAGTATTCGGATAATTAAGCTTAAAGGAACAGTTCAAATGAAAATGAAAAAAAAAATAAATTATGAAAAAAGCCCAAAAATGAAAATATGCTTAAAATGTACTTACCTCAGGCCACCTCGATGTAGATGAGTTTGTTTCTTCATCAGAACAGATTTGGAGATATTGGGCATTACATCACTTGCTCACCAATGGATCCTCTGCAGTGAATGGGTGCCGTCGGAATGAGAGTCCAAACAGCTGATTGGAACTGATGGACTGGAGTCATGTGGATTACTTGTGTATTATTGTGATGTTTTTATCAGCTGTTTGGACTCTCATTCTGACGGCACCCATTCACTGCAGACGATCCATTCTCCAAAACGATTCTGATGAAAAAAAAAACGAACTCATGTTTACACTATGTTACTTGAAAATACATGCCACTTGATTTGATATTTTGTTATGCAATGCAATGACTTTTATATATTTTCGGTGTGTCTTAGGTGACTAAATATATTCTGGCACCAATAAAATGAATTTTCATGCACTGAATGCCACTCTGAAAAGTTAAAGGAGTAGTTCACTTCCAGAATAAAAATGTCCTGATAATTTACTCACCCCCATGTCATCCATGATGTTCATGTCTTTCTTCCTTCAGTCGAAAAGAAATTAATTTTTGAGGAAAACATTGCAGGATTTTTCTCCATCTAATGGACTTCAAATGGTGGCCAACGGGCTGAAGGTCCAAATTGCAGTTTCAGTGCAGCTTCAAAGGGCTCTACATGATCCCAGCCGAGGAATAAGGGTCTTCTCTAGCGAAACGATCAGTCATTTTCTAAAACAATAAAAAAATAAATAACATTATATACTTTTTAACCACAAATGCTCATCCGCATTGCACATCATGCATTAAGTAATCACGTTGGAAAGGTCATGCGCGGTTAGCTCTTCGTCTGTGTACCCCGGTTCAAAAAGGTAGGGTAGTGCGAAAAACTCCACTAATTTTCTTCCAACTTCAAAATCGTCCGACATTGTTTTACCTTTTTTTGTAAAGGGCGTTTGACTTTCTTTAACGATCACTTTGTAATCACTGGGTCGGTACTTCCGCCTATGTCACGTGTGTGTGACTACATAATGCGTGAAGTCGAGCTAGTGCAAGATGAGCATTTGTGGTCAAAAAGTATACAATTTTACTTTTTTTTTTTTAAATGACTGATTGTTTCACTAGATAAGACCCTTATTCCTCGGCTGGGATCATGTAGAGCCTTTTGAAGCTTCACTGAAACTGCAGTTTGACCTTCAACCCGTTGGCCACCATTTGAAGTCCATTATATGGAGAAAAATCCTGGAATGTTTTCATCAGAAACCTTCATTTCTTTTCAACCGAAGAAAGAAAGACATGAACATCTCGGATGACATGGGGGTGAGTAAATTATCAGGAAATTTTTATTCTGGAAGTGAACTACTCCCTTAATGTCAAACAATTCTGTCTGAGCTTACCGATACTCTCGTTGCCATTGCAGGAAGAGAAGTGTAAGGCTGTCCTGCCCTTGTCATCAGCAGCACAAGGATCGGTATCCTCTTCCAGCAATCTACGAACTAGAAAGGAAAAAAGTGAACCAACTATCATTTCAAATCTTAGCATGAAGTGTGACTACTATTGTCATGCTGATGATTCTCACCTGTGTCAGTATCATTGGAGTTGGCAGTTTCTCTGAGCCTCTTCACAGCTTGGAGGAGAAAACAACAAGGAATTGGTTTATATATATATATATAAATTATAGGAGATGCACAACCTTCAGTGATAGGAGATGCACCACCTTCAGAATATGTTAAATGTTAATGACTAAGCATGCATCTCCTTTCATATATATATATATATATATATATATATATAAAATTAAAGGAGATGCATAACCTTCAGAATATGTTAAATGTTAATGAGTAAATATTGGCATTTGTATCACGATGCACCTTTTATAACATATTTGCATCGGTAAAAAACTATTTATTTATATATAATTATTAGTAGATGTCATATACTTTTATTTTGAAAATGACCAATAATTTGTGACCAATATTTGACATGTAGACTGATTTCTCCTCTAAACTGTTTCTCAAGCGCGTTCTCTCATCACCGCTGCTGCTGCGTGAATGTCCTGAGAATTAGTGATGGGAAGTTCGGTTCTTTTCCGCGAACCGGTAAAAGAAATAAAAGCGGACTATCTGTACCATACTATTTAATGTATCGTATCGATGGCTATGCATCGAGATGCGTATCGCATCGGCCTCAGTTACGGAGATGCAAATTTAAAAAACTAATAAAAAATTTATATATGTATATATATATATATATATTTTTTTTT